TGCGTTTGGGCTTCTTTTCTTCTCAAGCTCCAATAGCATGAGGGAGAGAATCCCTTATAAACCACTCCAACTCTCCTTCCACTAGCATGGTGAGACTAAATTTCTCACCACCTTGGCATGCCACTTACATGGATCCTTAGAGATTAAATCTGAAATTGTCATATGGGCTCTAGGCCCATCTCATATTTCAATAGTCGGGGCGCGTGGCGGCGTCCGGCTGGCTCCTTTGGCCTCCCCGCGTGCTCAACGAACAATGGCTTCGACCTCGATAGTCAACACACCAAATGCGCATGGAGATGGAGCATGGACATGTATGCGTATTTATTTATTTACTACTTCCTCCGTTCCAAAATAGATCACCTAATTTTATACTAATTTTATACGTTAGTATAAAGTTGGGTCATTTATTTTGAATCGGAGAGAGTACTTGCTGCAAGCAGGCAGAGAGAGACACAGCGTCGCTACAGCAGCAGCTGCTGCTTTGGCTATGAAACAGAGAGACGGCGTCGCTACAGCAGCAGCGCTGTACTCACCTTGGCGCCTGCTCTCTGCGAGCTATGGCCGGGTTGGTTAGTTAAAGTGCTCCTAGTACCTGTACACGAGTGGGTCACGTACGTACACGGGCTAGTGTCCTGTCTTGTGTCCGTGTCTCGTTATCCGGTGGCTAATCAAGTTGTTAATGACGAGCTAGCACGTAGTTGCTAGGGCTCTACCGCTTGGCGTGCTCGCGCTCCTGTGACAACTGACAAGGAACAAACACACTCCTCGGGAGCACGAATGTTGTTGCCTCATCCTCTCGCATCGTCGCCACCCCATCCCCAGTAAACCCATGCCAGGACGATGACATGCGGGCCATGGTGCTCGGGTCGGCCGGTGCGCGTGCGCTTGGTGAGACGGGGTCCGCGCGCGGCCAAGCGAGAGGGAGCGAGCGCGCATGGAAAGGCACGTCTCGGCGTGTCTCGTGAGCAGCGAGGCGTGGCTCTGCCTGCCGCCATCTCTTTCCCATTTCCCTCTCGTCTCCTCCGGTAGGCCGAAGCAGTAGGCTTGTGGCCCAGGAGAGCGAGCGAGGAGTACATCGCTCTCAGGAGAGAGAGAGGGAGAGGGTCGGGGATATAAGCACCATTTGACACATGCCAGTGAGCACTGACAGCAAGCTCAGGGCAGGGCCTCAGAGCTCTGACTAGCTGCAATGCTACATGCGAGACTGTTTGGCTTTGGGGATTCAAGCTCGCCAACGTACGCATTCCTGCGTCGTGTGGGATGATGACGCTGATGCCCGCCGGCCGGCCAGCCGGCCGGACGGGTTCCAGTTCCACGCCTTGGGAGCCGTTTCGGGACAGAGACCCAGAAATGGGCGGTGTATCTTTTGCCTGCGCGCGCGCGCATGCCTGCCGTAGGCGGGAGTCGGATGAGGTAGGCTGGCCGGCGGGCGAGCGAGTGAGCTCACCGGATCGGCCACTGGCCTGGCCCGCCCGGTGCACGTGAGCGGCTCTCGTGAACTACTACCACCGTCGGCACGCCTAAGGCCAACTCCACCGCACGACCCACCCATCCGGTCTGCTTTTGTCCGTTTAAGATAAAATACGACCCAACAGTAATACTCAAACGGACAAAGCTGTCCGCTGGTGTCCGTTTCAGTCCGGCCCAACCCCAAATTCAGATCAAAGTTGGGTCACAAATGGGTCTAAACGGATACAGACGGACGCGCTCCTCGGCCTCTCTCGTCTGCTCGTGTCCGCCACTGGCCCACAGGTCAGCGACCCACACCGAGCCACTCCCGACCTCGTTGCTCCCTCGCCGGCTGCCGGCCGCCCGCCGCGTCCGCCGTCGCACGCCCCGCGCCCGCCGTCGCCCCGCGCCCGCCGCCGCGGCCGCCGTCGCACGCCCCTCACGGGATGCCCGAGTCGATGATGGTGCCGCCGGCTGACAGCGTATCGGACGGGATGTCCGCCGCCTCCCCGCCGACGAGGATGGACTTGAGCTGGAGGTAGTAGAAGCTGTCCGCCGCGTCGGCAGCGGCCGGCGCGAAGGCCGTGTAGTTGACCCGCGGGTGCGCGAGCAGCGCGTCGTCGTCGCCGAAGATGACCTTGCTCCCGGCCGCGCTGATGTGCTCCACGAGGCAGTAGGAGAAGGCATGCCCCCCGTAGACGCCGCGCAGCTGCGACGCGAACGAGAGCGGGGCCCGGCCGAGCCCCAGCAGCCCCGCGGCGCCGTGGAACAGGCCGCGGTTGCGGTGGCCGCACCCGAACGCCACGCCGTCCACGCGCCGGGTGGTTCCGGCGGCGCCCGTGAGGTGCGACGGCGGACGCGGCCGGCCCCATGCCCGCCGTCCGCCATCCGCGCCCGCCGTCGCCCCGCGCCGCGCCCGCCGTCGTCGCCCCGCTGGACGCCGGCCGGCCCCATGCCCGCGGGCCTCGTCGCTGGACGCGCTCCTCAGGCCGAAGCCCCTTGGCGCCTGCTCTCTGCAAGCTCCCGCCGGGTTGGTTAGCTAAAGTGCTCCTAGTACCTGTACACGAGTGGGTCATGTATGTACACGGGTTAGTGTCCTGTCCCGGAAAAGAAAAAAAGGGGTTAGTGTCCTATCATGTGTTCGTGTCTCGTTATCCGGTGGTCTCTGTCGCCAGGCGTGCTCCTGTGACAAGGAACAAACACATTTCTCGGGAGCACGAATGTTGTTCCCTCATCCTCTCGCATCCTCGCCACCCCACCCCCATTGCCAGTAAACCCAGGCCACGACGATGACATGCGGGCCATGGTTCTAGGGTCGGGCGCGCGTGCGCTTGGGGAGGCGGGGTCCGTACGTCGTGTCGGCTGCTGCCCCGGCGCGTCCCGTATGGCTTTGCTTGCCGCCATCCCTTTCCCATTTCCCTCTCGTCTCCTACTCCTCTCTCCTTGGCCGTAGCCCGTAGGCGGCCACGTAGCAGCCAGCAGGAGAGAGGGAAGGGCGGGTAGTCGGGGGTATAAGCGCCATTTGACACATGCCATAGAGCACTGACAGCAAGCTCAGGGCAGGGCCTCAGAGCTCTGACTACTCCCTCTTTCCGGGTTTATTAGGCCTTCCACGATGTGTTCGATGCCACAACTCTGAAAAGTATGCCACGCAGACGATGATGCCAGATGAAATATATTTAGCACCGCCCGCACACTGTGAAAGAATTGGGCATCGATTGGGGGTCAGACCCACACATATAAACAAGTGTATATCAGCAACAGTTGCCCCACTAGCAGCGTCTTGCTCCTGGCTCACTGCCGCTTCTTCCCTTGAGCATCAGGCTTAGTTTATTGCTTTGTTGGTTCTGGCATCGGAGCAAGTAGATGCTCAGGTTCCCAGAATTTTTTTTATGGCAGCGCTTAGGCAATGGAGAGCACTGGTGCCAAATGAAGTAAAGGTGAATTTGACACCACTTTTGGCCTACATAGTGGAGGGCCTTAGGCCCACCGACCGAATCACCAAGACCAAGGTAGTTTCCTGTTCGCGCACGCTAGTTTAGGTATTAATCCCTCGAGTAATTACCCGATGCTTCGTATGGAACGTCATTCATTGCGGGTGATCAATCATGCATGCTCTGCGCCAATCGCATGCTTCACTTTCCCTCTTGAGCCCCCGCATGCAACGTCTGCGAATTTATTTCCTGCGGGCCTAGCAGACGGAGCTGCAACCGAAGCGGAAAATCTCTATGCATGCAGCGTTTGTAAATCAATTATTTCCTTGATAATGCTGCCCCATGCACTTTTCTCGCAAGCATCCAAGGTTCCCAATTAATTTTCCTTGGTACTCGGAAGAAGGGGCCTTATAAATACGGACGCCACTCTCGTGCTTACGGGCCCAATAAATCCGGACGAAGGAAGTAGCTGCAATGCTACATGCGAGACTGTTTGGCTTTGGGGATTAAAGCCGGACGGGTTCCAGTTCCACGCCTTTGGAGCCGCTGGCTTTCGGGACAGAGGCCCAGAAATGGGCGGTGTATCTTTTGCCTGGGGTTTTTTCACTGTTTTAACTCATCTGGCAAACTTTAGCACGATTTGACCCGCTTTTGAAACTTTTTTCGTATCTGACTCAAACCGAGACGCCAACATCCATGGCGTTCTGCTTGCACTGAAGACGCTGCGGACCCTGACGTTTGGCACTGGCCCACCTCCCTGGTCAGCCAGTTTGACCGTCCGACGTGGCAAAGGGTTAAACGCCATGGCCCTTGGCGTTTACCCCTGGAGAGCAGAAAACCGGCCCGAGCCGGCTCGGGTGCAGCCCAACCCATCAAGACGCAGGAGGCGTCTTCCTCCTCGTGGCGGCGGCTACAGAAGCTCCGCTTCTCTCCTCCCCTCACCCAAATCAACCCCAAATCGCTTATTCTCTTCATCAAAAGTGTGGATCTGAGCCTCCCCATCTTCCTTGAGGTATTCTCCACCAGATCCTCCGATTATTTTGGGTTCAAAACTTGTATTTTGGCAGCATTAATTCATACTTGTTAGAACCCTAGGATTCGTATTCTTTGCACTTTTTTGAGAAAGGGGGGCCCATGGCTTGGTCATGTAGGTATGTTGTATACTTTAGAAGAGTTGGCATGTGTTTATATGGTAGGATTGGGAAGAGAAGGCATTTGTGATAGGGTTGGGCATTTTAATTTTAGTTGCTATGTATATGGATTTAGATAGATGATTGCTTGAAATATAATTCTAACATATTTGTGTATTTTGTATGCTTGATTCTCATTGAGATATGGTCATATAATTAGGATGTTATATTGAGACTTTGTTATGTTGTGTTGCCATTGAAATATGTTGCCATTGATATTTTGTCATATATAGATAATTGGTCTTGTTATCTTGACATTGAGATATGTTGCCCCGTGCATTCAGATTTTGTCATATATAGATAAACAGGTTTTGTTATGTTGCCATTGAGATATGCATTTATGTTGATGTTGTTATGCCAAATATATGATATGTAGGATGTTATATAGTGTTATGTATGTTTCATTTGTTCATGCTTGATTTGTAGGATGGCGGGGGAACGGTGGTACGACGGTCTTCATAAAGGGTACGACAAAGAGCATCGTGCGCGGGACATTGAGAATAACGGGGTAAGACTCAATCTATTTGAATTCTTGGTTATTACTTGTCAGTTTTGCTAGGCACTAACCATAATGCAATGCTATTTTGCAGGAACTAACACCTATGCGCATGAGGGGTCATAGTGCCCACGACTGGATGTGCGACAAGCGGTATGAGCCATACTTCGAGAGATTGGGCCTTCTCCCGTTCGTGCTTCAGTTCAAGCGACACGCTTCGTCGATCAACCATGGGGCGATGATCGCACTTATTGACCGTTGGAGGCCAGAGACACACTTGTTCCACTTGTCATGTGGAGAGATGACCGTGACCTTGGAGGACATGGCGATGATCAGTGGCCTTCCAATCAATGGAGAAGCTTTGATCGGCACCACCGTAAGTGCTAATTGGCGAGATCGTGTTGGCCAATTGACAGGTGTTTTCCCTGAGCCTCCTGAAGAAGGCGAGCGTGACAGTGAGAAAGTGTTGCATCATTGGCTCCGAGGGGAGAGAGGAGTAGTATGCCCTCCGGACGCCAATGAGGTTGTTGTGCAGCAGCACGCCCGAGCATATCTGTGGTATCTGTTAACGAGGGTAGTGTTTCCAGATTCTACCGGTAATAAAGCCCAGTGGATATTCTTGGACCTACTAAGTGACTGGGACCGTAAGTACAGTTGGGGTTCAGGAGCACTAGCATACTTATATCGTCAGGTAATTAGTAACCAAATTGTCAATTTGTTTGCATTTGCAATTTCGCGGACCTCTTATAAACAATTTCTGAATTTGCAGCTCGACGAGGCATGTCGTAGGAAGAAGGGCACATCTGGTATGGGTGGCTTTGTTTGGTGCCTTCAGGTTTGGATGTGGGAGCGGATGCCCGTTGGACGCACCAAGAAAAATAAGACACCTCCTGAAGGATGGGTCCCACATGACGGGAGGTATGGAGAAGATCCTTGGCGGTTTCCGACCGTCGCCTACTGTTGGAAGATGGCGAATGTGTACACAGGTAGCTCGGTTGCGCGATACAAATGCTACATCAACGAGCTGGATATGTTGACTCATAAGCAGGTAATGATAACTTACGTAAGAGCACATCAATTGTGATGGAACCGTGTACTTAACTAGTATCATCTTGTGTTGTAGGTCGATTGGATGCCATATGATGCCGATTATGCTTTCCGGCTGAACGAGATGTGCACACGTGACAGGAATATTTGGCGGGCGAGATGCCCACTGATATGCTTCTATGCTGTCGAGTCGCACTACCCAAACCGTGTCGCAAGACAATTTGGGAGAAGGCAAGGGACACCAAGGGATGAGAGTTTCGAGACAAGCCAATTTCTGCATCAGTGAGATAGTTGTAGCTTTGGATATATAGTAGAGCATTATGAAATACATTTTTTGTTAATGCTTTCATCTTGTACATAATTTGCAGAATTAGTCGAAAGAATAACCCGGAAACTTCGACTTGGGCCATCAAGCACTTCGAGTGGATAGATTTGTGGAATCAAAGAGTGGCCCTAGTGGAGAAGGAAAGAAGACAACATAGTGATTCACTATACGAAGAGCATCTGAAGTGGCTTGCGGGACGTTACCGGTTGAAGCTAAAGCCCGGTTGGAACCGTTCGAAATTGGAAGAGTTGGATCGTGAGAGCGGGTATATGGACTTCAATGTACAAACGAGAGACAACAAAGGGACACAACTTGACTATGCACAACTACACGACCGAGTGGTATGCTCCACACAATTAGAACCTACTTCGAGTGCATTTGAATGTACTTCAAAGATAATTTTCGTGATCTTCATTTTGCAGGGCATGGAGTTATTGCATTGTGTTAACGAGGCTGGTGTAGCACTTGGTGAAGATGAGGGAAGTGGATCATCTGAGAAATCTCTTAGGAAAACAATGAAGGTATATGTTATCTCTATTCAAAAACCTCCATCTTTGCACACTTTTGACTTAGTCTAGTATTGCATCTTTGTTATGTTGCAGAGTTTCGTGAGTCGATTCCACAAGATGGCAGCTATGCTCTCTTGCCATGGAAGTAAAGCCGTCCTCACGGCTGGAGCTTCTACTAGCCGGGACAATAGACGGTGTCGTCGTCTTGTCTTGCAACAGGAACAACAAGAGGAGCAACTGCAAGAAGAGCCAGAGCAAGAGGAGGCACAACAAGATGAAGAGGAGTACAATCAAGACGAAGAGGAGGTGCTTGGGATGTCCCAAATGGATGATGCGCCTGAGCCATCACAGCCCACACAACGCACGCCGCGCAGCAAAAGATGAAGGAAGAAGTGAATTAGTTAATACTAGATTCTCGCGAACTTTGTTATGTTTGATTCGTGAACTTTAGAAGTGGCGTGAACTTTGCTACCTGGACTTGTGTTTAATTTGCACTTATGGAGTGGGTGAACTTTGCTACCTTCATGTTGTTGTGTTGCTATGATGGCGTGAACTATGGTACCTTCTTGTTGTCATCCTGGAAATATTGCTTAGTTTTGCTGCCATCCTTGATGTTATACTGTCATCCTTACCTTTTGCTGTTATGCTGAAGTTTCTGTACAGGCTAGACGCCATGGTCTCTGGCGTTTTGCCCCTAGACGCCAGAAACCTTGGCGTCCTGGTATGCAGATGAGCCACAGCAGTTCCACCTTTCTGGATATGGCCAAAACTTAGATCCACGACAAATCCCAAATTAGAACAAACTTTTTGGAAACTCATAAATAAACGGTCTCAAATTCATGACATATAACATAACTTAGATCCACGACATAAGCATTACATAGTTCAACTGACATACGCAGTACAAACTTTAACGGACATAGTTCAAATGACATACAACATCACTTAGTTCCATGACATAGAACATCACATAGTTCAACCCCTCGAGTTTTTCTTGCGTGAATTCTCTTTCTTATTTTTCTTCTGTGAATCATTCTTTTTCTTCTTCTTGCTTGCATTGGCCCCATCTGGCACCGAGGAACTTGGTTCGGTAGGTAGCATCGAGGAGCTTGGGTCGATATATAGCAGCGATAAGTCGGGCTCATAATCTAGCGGGATATGTTCCAATTGAATGTCATTGTTTGGTCCAGGGTTGCAATAGATGACACCCGGTATTTCAAGAACCCAATCCCAACGAGCAGCCTGGGTCGGTATCGGGGACATAGCTTCATTGATTGCCCAGTCAATGATCTGTCCAGGCCTATTCAAGTCCATCTGACGATATTCTAGCATAGTTGCATAAAATGCGATTTGCCTACCTAGATCACTTCTACAATCAAGTTCAGCCCTTTTCATCTCGGCAAAATTCTTTTCCATTTCAGCGATGACATTATCTAAGTCATCAGAAAAATATAACCGTGCAGAGTTCCTCGCAGCTTCATTCCTTGCATCGCAACTATTCACCCACAGAGTCATCTTTTCTTTAATGAGTTCGCGGTTCTTTTCATCCGCCGCATCCATATATTTCTCAATGAAAACCATCTTTGCATCATTATTAAGTGCCATTCCTACAAGAGTGACCTAACATTAAAATGCAACTCTATAAAGAAGTGCGTAACTCTATCACTAATCATAAGCATAACAACTAGGGTAATCCTAATCCTATTCCTAACCCAAATCGTAAGCATAACACTAGGAGCATGCATACTACACCAACTAAATTCATTAGGCTAAAGCTAACAACACCGTATAAAACACTACATATGTACCCTTTTTTTGCAAAGCATTTGCAAAAAAAAGGAAAAGCTAGGGTTTGAAATAATCCACTACATGTGATGGATTGAACCAAACAAATCATGGGGGTGTATTGGATTTACCTCAATGGTAGTAAATGACTTCGATCCAACGGTCAAATGGGACCGATTTATGAGAGATTTGAGGGGGGGTTTGGTTGGGGAGAGAAAGCGTGAGGGGCAGCAGCTCGGGGTTGTGAGGTTGAAGAATGAGTTATGGAGTGGGCCCACAAGGACTTATAATCTGCAAAGGACCAAAATGCCACCGGCCTTGGCGTCTAGGTGTGCAGAGGAGCAACCGCAGATTTACCTTTCTGGATAGGGCCTAAACGTCGTGGTCTCTGGCGTCTGGGCAGAGGTCCAAACGTCGTGATTCCTGGCGTCTAGGTGGGCAGAGGAGCAACCGCAGATTTACCTCTCTGGTTAGGGCCTAAACGCCGTGGTCTCTGGCGTCTGGGCAGAGGTGCAGACGCCGTGGTTTCTGGCGTCTAGGTGTGCAGAGGAGCAACCACACATTTTCCTCTCTGGTTAGGGCCTAAACGCTGTGGTTTCTGGCGTCTGAGCAGAACAGAGCATTTCTGGCATCTGGGCAGAACAGAGCATTTCTGGCATCTGATATATGACAATTTTGTTGCACAATTCACCACATGGACAACTAATAAGAAAGTTATGTTCATTACATAGTTCCCATCAAATAGCATAACTTAGGTTCATTACATAGTTCCGATCAAATAGCATAACTTAGGTTCATTACATAGTTCCCATCAAATAGCACAATAGGTCCATGACATAGTTCATCACAAATTCATGATACAATCCTCAAATAACACAATCAAGTCTTTATTGGGTCACACGCGGCCATTTCCCCTTCTTGTCGCATGCCTCATCCTCCTCTTGTGCATCGTGAGCCCTCGCAAGCTTTCTTGCCCTCTCCTCTTGACGAGCTGCCTTCTCTTTGCGCGCCCTCTCCTCCTCACGCTTCTTCCGCTCCTTCCTCTCCCTCTCACGACGCTCCTCGTCCTCGGCTCTCTGTAAGGATTCTTCAAACCGTCGTTGTCTCCTAAGGCAATCTTGAAGTTGGTCTTTTTGGACATCTTCTGGCACTTCATGATCTATCCATGTGAAGTACTTGCAAAGAGGAGGAGGTGACTACACACAAAACAAGTTTTTGTTAGTAATATAAAATGAATCATAATGGAGAATAGCCTACTTTTCTAACATACCGGTGGGATGTCATAGGCGTTAGTGGGACGCGCGCGATCATGTGCATAGTTGGGACACACAAAATATCTTCTTTCTTCCGTCCACGACTTCTTCCGGTCAGTGGAGACCTTCACCTTGCACTCATCTGCACACCAACATGAACGGGTTTTCACATCCTTCTCCTTTGTCTTGTCCAACCTTGCCTCCTCCCACTTGTTCGGCATGTCCTCTTGGTCAGCGCACCGTGGCCTCGTCGTGGAACCGGATGAAGCCATGCCTATGAGAAGAAGAATTGTTAGAAAATTACATGAACAAACTAAATGCAAAAAAACACAATACAAGAAAACAAGAAAAGAATGAACAAATATTTACCATTCAAAATTGGTCAACCATTTGGATTATGCAAATAACCAAACGCCGACCCGTTATCAGTCCTCCGTACTCTTGTACCACCACCGGAACCACCTCTACGAGCACCACTACTACCCCCTCTAGGGCCTCCATTAGAGCCACCTCTACCACATTGTCCACTCCTAGCACCTCCTCTAGGGCCTCTAGCAGCACGGGAACCACCTCTACGACCACCGGAACCCCCTCTACGACCACCGGAACCCCCTCTGCCACCACCTGCCTGACTCGTGGTTGGATTGCCCTTCTTTGATGTTTTCCTTTTCTTAGAGCATGTTCTCACATTGTGTCTCGTATTGTCATATTGACCACAGTTGATAGTGTCCGGAGGCTCCATAAAGTGCCCGCTACCAAATTGGTTCATGCCAGTGTATCCAGCTAGGTTGTCCATATCGCCTCTCAACCGTTTCTGTCTGATTCTACCCTTGGGCTCAACCTTCAGCAAAGGATTGGGCCTAAGCTCCGGGCCATTATAGTCAGGCCACTGCGATGGGTCTAGGAAGGGTTGGAATCTAGGAGCCCATGTCAACCTAGTAGCTTCAAGATCGAACTCATGCATCCTCACGGTTGTCCCATCAGACACATGTATATTTCTTGACGACGCCGCCGTCAAAAGATGAGAGCATGGCCAATGATACTTACTAGGCCTCTCGCACTGACACCACTGTCTCTTAAGGTGCACCTCGAATGCACGACCACCATATGACATACCATCTCTTGTTGTCCCACCAGACTCGTTGATTTGGTAGGTCACATCGTAGGTGTTGAATAGCCTAAGTTTCTGTGCCGAGGACTTGCTTTGTTGTAACATCATCCACTCTTCAACCTTTGGTGGATATTCCATTTTTTCACCAGTCCACTTCACGGTTTCCTCTGAATGCATCAGAAAATACTCATTAAGCTTGAAGAAAGTATATTCCACTATTGCAGTCACTAGCAATGGGCAGGCACCTCTGAGCACATTGTTAAAACATTCGACCATGTTACTGGTCATGTCTCCATATCTCCAACCTCCTTCGTCATGAGCGCGTGCCCACTTGTGTTTCTCCGGAAAATTTCGTGTTAAGAAATCTTTCCCTCCTTCGTTTGCAGCTTCGTACAACTTGTCATAGCGAATGATGAACGCACCGGTGCTAAAGGCCACGCAAACATGGGTTAGATCCTTGCTCAACTCCTTGCTCTTACATGCCCTGTAAAAGTTTGCCACGAAATGCCTCATGCACCATCGATGGTGGAGCTTTGGAAGTCCTGGAATAACAATGTCCATGGCTTTCAGTATGCCTTGGTGCCGGTCTGATATAATGCACACTTCTCTATCACCAATGACATTTTCCCTAACATGACGCATGAACCACTCCCAGTTGTCTTGGTGCTCGAAGGGCACCAAACCAAATGCCACCGGCAACACATTATCATTGGAGGAGTGCGCCATTGCTACCATGATTGTGCCCTTGTATCGGCCGGTCAAGAATGTACCATCAATAGACAAAACCGGACGGCAATGCTTAAAGGCCGTGATGCATTGTCCGAAACTCCAGAAGGCACGGTGAAACACCCCATGACCATCATCCTCGACCACATGGTACATGTCGGGGTTCCTATGGGCAATCGCTCCCAACAACCGCGGGAGGCGATTGTATGCTTCTTCCCAACTACCATACAACATCCTTAAAGCATTTGACTTGGCCTTCCATGTCTTCCCATACTTGACTTTGTATCCAAACATTTTTTTCACCGTCGTCATGAGGAGCTTCACCTTCACGGTTGGATCACTTGATACTTCTTTCATTAATTTAAACCCGAGAAACTCAGACGTGAGTTGATGATGTGTTTTAGGCTTCTTTTTTGACGGTGGCCTGCACGAGTGAGTACACACACAACTTGTTAACAACCATTGCCCGGTTTTAATTCTTCTTCCATGGACCGCCCATGGGCATCCTT